TTCAAATCTGCACTCCTCCAACATGTAGCTATCTCCTCCATGAGCTAACTACCACCTTCCTTACTGACAGCACAGTAAGCACCAATAGAAGATACACCGCAGAAAGTTGTAAATGGTGAGATACTTCTCATCTGACTGTAGCCACTAAAACTAAACTAGTCAGCTGTTTTTTTAGAAAACACAGGGCACCTCTAGGAGGGGATTCACATCATCCTAAAATAAATGAGATCTTATAAAGACTCTATTTAACAGAGAAAGGACCTAAGCAGCAAACCTGCACTAAAATTCTACCTTTCAGATGGCAGGCAAAATTAATTCCACCAAAAACAAGCCAAAAGAATTTTGTGTATCGTAAAAATTTTTTAGAACTTTGCTAAATTTTAAAATTATAATAATAAAAAACAACCCAACTCTCTGTACCTTTAATGCTGTGCCATGAAGTTGATATTTTACATATTTATCTGTTTATATTCATATACTTTATACCTTTACAAAAAGGTGTATTGTATATTTTTAAAGCTTTCCTTCTATGTGACTAAAACATATCAGATAACTGGTATGAGTTGTTTTAATACCATGCATTTCATAGCATCATTCCAATGTACATTGCCTGTCCCATTACCCTTAAATTATAGTTTCAGCATAAGTTGTTAACACTCCTTCTATTTATGTAACTTTAAATGAAAAAAAAAAATCTCCTTCTATGTGCTAGGGGATAACAGTATAAAGAGCTTCTAGACAGAAGGTCCTGCCTGGGGGCAAGTTCACTTTTTCTATTAAAGCAACTCTGTATTTCTTCGTGGTGTGCCCTAGAATCAAACCATACTTGAAACCACACTGATTGACTCTTTTTTTTCAATTTGCATATTGTTATCATCGCAGATCTGCTATTCTTTCTTGTACTTTGCTATTATGCTTACGGACTTGAAACACTCTATGATACGATATGATAGCACATTCACTTTGCTCTTCAGCTTTCTGCTGAGGAGGAGGATACTAACAGCAAGAAACGAGCAAAATAATCTCAACTAGTATAAAATGTGAGCTATTACAGAGCTCAGACAAGTTGAAGATCCAGCTCTACATTTCCTTAGTTTTTGTTTCCAACATTGGCTCTTCAGAAACCATACTCTTATCAATACTTCGGGCCTCCCTCTTCCCACTGAATATTAACCTGTTTGTTCAAATCAATACAGAGTTTATAAAAAGCTCTGACATTTTTCACTGGAGGCTTTATGTAGTAAGCAGAATTATTCTGTGTACAATAACTGCAAGAGTCCAAAGTAATTCTGTGTATATCATCAAGTAAATGGATGGTACTGCAATAGAAATTAATTATTCAAATTTTGAAGGTATCATGAACATATTAACTAAGCCTGAGCCAATGACTGCAATGGAGTGAGACCACATTTACACTCACAGAAGTCAAACCATTATCAATGTTCTCCCAAATGCTTACTGTATATCCATTACTTTTTTCCCAACAATTTTTTTTTACAGTCTCAAATGAAGCAATACTAAGAAGCTTTGGTCTTGACAATATATTCTGCAATGAATATTCAATGAAAATATAAAAGGACCCTGAACTCAAGAGAAAGCAAGGAAAAGGATGTGACTCCAGGATTCCTGGCAAGAGTGAATGACAGATTCATCACATAAAATGTCTATGCACTCCCAAGACCTGGCTACCACTATTAACAGCACTCACATTCTTGAATACATCCAAATGACAACAGGTAAATTCCACTAAAAGTGTTTCAACAAGTCAGTCATCTCTTGCCTACTAGAGCAAAGCTAAGTGTCAAATTCTGGCATCAGCTATAAGAGTGTACATTGGTATTAGCCAACAAAAGCTAGGTTTACATACTGTGGTAAGAATTCGAACCTAGAAGTGTAGGACGTGCTGAAATTATGGGTCAGATTTTGACCGCAATCACTGTGGTGTATTGCTGGTTTAATCGGACAGTTTAAAGCTGAATTCATGTTTTAAAGGTATTCTTTAAAGTTTAAAGATGGGTCCAGATTACAAAATCTCACTATATCCATCACGCAGGAGTATTTTGACAAAGGATTACGGATTCATCCACATACCTTTGGATGAAATAAGAGATAAATTTTGGACATTATTTTTCATTTTGAAGTAGACAGTTCCTGGTTGACAGCCCCATTTTCCTCACTTAATGTAAAAACTTTTGAGGTTTTCTCACTGCCTTTCAAATATAGCCTTGGCTTGACTTACTGCCACATGAAGAAAAGTTTGATCATAATACGCCAGGCTCCAAGACACAAGCTCACATGAGCAGCAGCCCCTTTGTCTTCCATGAGACAATCCACCAGAGAAACTCACTGGTGTATACCAAGGGCTTGGTGGGCTGACCACTAAGAATTACAACTATCTGTCAATTAAACTTGTCCAGGTAGGAGCAGTCGGTGTCTCTTCCTCGCTCTCTCTCTTGCTGATTTTCTTTTCCTGGCACGGCTCTCATCATCGCCATCATCTCTCTTCTCTCTCAGTTTTTTATCTTGAGACACTTGAGGTTTTTCTTCTATGAATCATTATACAATAAAGAGGCCTACTTCAGATAGTATACTCTATCTCTTAAGTTAAAAGGGCAGACAATCATTTTAGCTTTACCCTAACATACACAGTTGTGCAGCTATCTCATTCTTTGGGTCAAGAATTTCCCAAGGCATTTCCTGGGATAATCCGTAGGGCGGTAATGCCTCCTCACACATTAGCCAGTCCGACTGTCTGATGCGTTCTGCACAGCTCAGTTTGGAGTCCAACGCAGTCACTGCTCAGGGCTGCCAAGCTCACTCCAGTTTTCCCTCACCACACACGCAATCACCTGATGAGCTCCTTCTCGTTCACTGACAGCTTTCCACAGGGGCACATGCCAAGCATACAAAGGCCGGGGAATGCAGAGGAATTAACCATTTTTGGAATTCGCTTACTTCAAAGCCGTTTCACACACTCAGGTCACTTTCGGTCATACAGAGTATGACATGACATAGAGAACCTGCCTTTTCAACCTTTAAAAGCTTTCCTCTTACCTGAAATTCAGATTACATGGGGAATTCTTGGCTGAAGTAGCGTTAGTCATTTTGTTCATTAAACAAAGCTGCTACGGGACACTCTCAGCTGCAGGACAGCGTCAGTCGTTTCATTCCTCAAGCCAAGTCGTTTACCACGGGTCGTCGCCACGCACTCTTCTCCAGCAACAAAGAGAAGTGGTTAAAAGCTTTCCTCTTACCTGAAATTCAGATTACATGGGGAATTCTTGGCTGAAGTAGCGTTAGTCATTTTGTTCATTAAACAAAGCTGCTACGGGACACTCTCAGCTGCAGGACAGCGTCAGTCGTTTCATTCCTCAAGCCAAGTCGTTTACCACGGGTCGTCGCCACGCACTCTTCTCCAGCAACAAAGAGAAGTGGAGTGGGAAGCAGCAGGCGCCAGGCTCCCCCGGTGCCCCAGCCCAGTGCCCCAGCCCACCGTCCTCCCACGCCACG